TATATATATATTACCTTAAACCGATTGGTGAAGAGCTCAAGTTTGGGGAAAAGCTCTCTGAGAGTCTGGAGAGTCTGAAGGGCCTTTAGACATTTGAGCCGAACTTCACCTTGCTGTAAATGATTAAATTTTAAACAATTTAAAAAAATCTAGATCAACAATATTTAATCTAGTATATATAATTTATGTTATGCTTGATAGTTATTAACACACAGATAAATAAATACATACTCTGTCATGTAGCGTCCAACCCACATACTTCAAGTAACTGTCATTGAGAAAAGCATCACTGTATAACTTCATCCAAACGCCAATCTCTTCTATGCAAATAGCTCTGATTTCCGCTATGGCATCCCTGAAAGAAATCAAGAGAACACAATATGAAATCCATAGGATTATGCAACATATTGACTAATTGGTTTCTAGACATTTGTGATTACTGGATAAGGATTTCTAAAAATCAGTTTGATTCTGACTAACTAATAAATCATTCAGACTATGATTAGTGAAATGGTTTGACTTTGACATTGAAAAGAACAATTTGCTCACAAATGGGTTTCTACCAAGCGGCAACCTCAATGGTTCTTAAAATTATTTTTATATATGAATTAATAATAACTCTTCTTTCCAATTATACAATATATATTTTTATATTATTATTATTCTATAATATAATAATTTTATTACTACATTATATTCTATTTAATAATGCTCTCTACTGTAATAATCCTCTCTAATGTAATAATGTAATATCATATAATATAATACAATATTTAACATAGCCATAGAGTCAAAGAATCTCAAAACATAAAGATTGCATAAAAAATACTTACTGCATTATATAGCTAATTTTGCCCTTCATGACAACTGTGAGGTGGGTGAATTTTTTTATTAGTCATCCGTTTAAATTATATCAAGCCTTTGAACCTACGGGTGACGTCACGGACACTACGTCCATGTTTTTATACAGTCTATGGTTTCTACCTGCTACTTGTATGCCACTCACCTGTAACGGTGAACAAAAATACCCTTGAAGATTGAGTTCATCATGTTCTCAATCTCATCTTGGTTTTCTTGTAGCTAGAAGATGAAATAAACAAGAAAACAGATTGAAAATCAAATTCATGAGACAGCAGAACAAAACTTGGAAGAAAAGGAAGCCATCTCACCTCTTTCCTCTTCTCCAGCAGCAGTTCCAGCTTCTCGTTGGCTCTTTTCCCTGCCACCTTATTCCGTTCGGCCTCATACTGCCTCTGTGTGTTATCCTGATTGATGCTCAGGTTCAGAGCAACATTTACCAGTGCTGTCATCAGTTTCATTGCTGCAGCAGAAACAAGACACGAGACAGAAATTAATAACTCATCTGCAGTATCGGGTATGACTTGAAGGTCAATGGAGAAGGACTGACCTGCCAGCGTGCTGGTGTGTCTGAAGGCTCGGACCTGTGAGTCTGAGAGCCCAGTGAGCAGAGAAATGACAGTGTCCATCATGTATTCATCATAGATGATGCTGTACTGGCACTGACGGATCAGAACCATGATGAACTCGCAAAAGTTATATCGGAATTTCTTCCATTGCGGCCCTGCCATTGTGAGAGGGTAGTCGCCACTGTCCTGGATTAGACGAGTAGAGAAATTCATTCATTCATTTACATTTAAGAATTCAGGTGGAAAAAATATGGTCAAAAATAATAACAAACCTCATCAAACTCCTCTGTCATCTTTCTGATAATTTCAGCGTTCTGCATGTTTCTGAACATCTCAATCCTTACAGTGCCTGTGATTGTTTTTGAAATAAATTAATACTTTTATTCAGCAAGTATGCATTGAAATTGATCAAAAGGCTTTTATAATGATACAAAAGACATCAAATAAATGATGTTCTTTTGAACCTTCTATTTATCATAGAATCCTGAAAAAAAAATGTACCATGGATTGCACAAAAATTAAGCAGCACAACTGTCAAACATTGATAAGAAGAAATGTTTCACCAAATCAGCATATTAGAATGAATTCCAAAGGATAATGTGACACTGAAGATTGGACTAATGGCCATCACAGGAATAAATTCCATTTTAAAATATATTAAAAATAGAACATTTTAAAAACTGCTATAAAATTTGACAATATCACAGTTTTACAGTATTTTGGAGCAAATAAATGCTTTTCAAAAACATTAAAAATGATAAAAAATAAAAATCTTACCAATCCCAAACTTTTAAATAGTAGAGTAACTGCAGATTCCTATCCGTATTTAAATCAGTTTTAATTAATCATGATTCTCGAAGCATCTAATTTTTTCATCAACAGCATATGAGCTTGGTGATTTAAGGGGCTGGTTGCCAAATCTTGTTTTCTGAGGCTGTACATAGGAATCAGGTGATAAGTTGAGTTTCACAATTGTGATTCCTCTGTAAATACATGTATTACCTTATTATTAATATAGATGTTTATTAATATATATGTTGGTGCATATAGATGTACCTAAATATAGATGTAATTTAATTTAAAATTACTTTGATACTTTGAAATTACTTTGATACACCCTAAATCCTATGATTGCAATTGACCATAATTCATAGCCTTAAAAAAAAAAAGCAACTTTGGAACTTTATTGAGAAATAAATGAGATAAATTACCTTTACAGCCAGAACAGTGAATGAAAAAGTTGATTAGATCTAGGAGTGCAAGGTCTCTGTCTTGCTTGTAAGCTTCAATCCAGTCATCAATGACGGACTGGAAACAAATGCAAAGAAAAACAACAGTCACTTAATTCCATCTCAAATAGACAGAAACAGACAGACAGACACTTGGCGTGTTGCGTTTTACCTGCATGGCACTTTTGCCTTGTTTGACCACCTCAAACAGAGTGCTGGGGTCTGTGCCTTCTCCATTCTGATGGGCCACTCCATTCGGCCTCCTCCCACCTTTATCAACCGGAGACCTTCGGGCCTTCTTACTAGCCGCCTGGCCAAAAAGAAAAAAGAAAAAAGAAAAGAGAGAGATCAGAAAGAGTGGCTGACACCATGCATTTAGGGTTAAAATGAATGCAATCAGTTGATCTGCTCAGCAGTGGTGGTCTTACTCCTTGTTTTCCAGGTCTGCCTCTCTTTTTCTTGCCCTTTCCCTCCCCAGAGTCATCCAGCTCACTGACGCTCATGCTCAGACTCACAGTGTCGCCTTGTCCGTCATTTGACGCGTCCCTGCACAGCGTAATGCAAATGCTTATTAACATTTTTGTGCACATTTATATTAGTGCCCATCATTTTAAAGTGTTTACTTACTGCAACACAGGAAAGTCTGAGTTGATCATGTTGTGTCTTCTGACAAAACTAGGAGACTTCTAAAGATGAATCACCCAGTGAGAACGTGAATGTTTGCGATTCTTCAGTTCAGGCCCAGAATGCTTCAGACCACATAACCTGAAAATTGAGAGAAAACAGAAGCTCAGATCAGTATGATATGAAGCATAATTACGTGCAGATAAATGCAAAACAGTACAAAACGCTTACTGAGCAGTAAAGCAATTTTGTACACAATATGACATATGCAGCTTGGTAACTGCCATTTATTCGATTTTATACATTTTTTTTTTATAAATGTAATAAAAAGTAAATTTCTATATTTAAATACTTTTTTAAATAATATAAAATAAAGAAAAAAATTGATACATAAAAATAAAACCAAAATTGCCATTTTAAAGCATAAAAAATAGTAACATCACATAGCCACTAGGGACAGCACAACCCATGATTTTCAATGAAACTATAATCTAGGATCAAAACCACAAAAATATGCAACAACTTCAAATGCAATCATAATGAATACTTATTTATTACAGCAAAATAACGTTTGTCTTAATCACTTGTACTTGAGGCAAAACAAACTTATATTACATTTGACAAAAGAAACACTGCCATTAGGGGGCATCCCAAGCATGGCTTTTCCCTGTTGCTGTGGAAACAGCAGAAACAGATGCAGATAGGATGGCTAAACACATTTATGTCAAGTTGAGATGGGATGTATACAGATCTAAATTAGATTAGACAATATCTGCGCTATTAGACAATATGAAAAGCAGATATTTCCATCTCAGTCTCATTTAGAAAATGCACTTGGATGCATCTTCACACATGATTTGATTTTAACCAACACAAGATGGCTCTCCACCCCCAGAGGAGACTTTCCACACTGTAGTAATAGATGTTTCTGTGGACATTGAGGATTCAAAATGCTTGAATCACCACACGTAACCGTGAAACAGACATATGGATGAAGTTCAACAGGAATGCAGGCTGGAATTCCCTACATACAGGGTTTTCAAGACCAAACTGCTGTCAGATGGTATTCTAAGTGGAAATAAGAAAATAAAACCCCTGACTTTGCATCTGTAACGCTCCCCCCCCTCCCCCATACAGATTTGGATATCTCAGTAAATATGGCCCAGGCCGAAACTCTGGGCTTGTGCTCCAGAAAAAGACTACGCAGTTTTGTCAAACTCAACAGCTGACCGTTACATAATCACACCTAAGACAAACAAATACAGATTAAAATGTTATTCTTGCACAAATTACTCTAGTTTGGCAGACATGCTATTTTTCTCTGAGGAGTAAGTGTTAAGTATAGTATGTACTGAGGGTAGAGCTCAGGAAAGAAAATGTCATTTACACCTCAGCGGTGAAGGCTGGTGACAGTGAAGAGAGCTGAATCCTTTTGGGAATACTAGAATATGAATGTCAATGTCAGCAATATATAATGGAGGAACATTCACAAGTTCAATGGCTCATGGTAAAAGATAATTTATTTCAAATGACTCTACTTCTAATATGAGCAGCCAATCTGAAACTATTTTCCAATCTTCTGGTATTTAAAGGTGCAGTGTGGAATTTTTGCAGCAGTAGAACTAAACTGAAAAAAAGATTGTTTCTACAAAAGGTTTTCCAAACTTGCTATTGTTATTACCAAACAGGTTGCCCCACCCTAAACTCACACAACCAAATGTCCTTTTATGGTCAGTCAGTCAAGATTGGCATCTTGGTAACACCCCCACGTAGCCATTTTAAGTCATACAAGTACACTTCCTGTTAATCAGATAAAAATAGATGAAAACATTCAAAACTAATATCAGTTTTTTAGCTAAAAATAACAACAACAACAACCACAACATACAATGCCTCTGTGAATGCCTGTTCTTTTAACCTGCATATTGAGTGTTACTATATCTACCATTTTTTATATTCCTATAATCATCATCTCCTCTTCATATAACGTCTCTAAAGCTCTCTGATTTCAGTTACAAATATCAAGAATATTATAGAATATCAAGATTTTGTAGAAACATTCCATTTACAGTCAGAAATGATTCATTTATTCTGCAATGATTATTCAGCAAAAGTGTCCAATAACATTGGAGTTATAAATAGGTGTTCAGATGACGGCTCTCATGAATCGACACAGCATGTTAAATAAAACAGTATGCAAGACCAGGCTACTTCGTCTCGTGTGAATGTACATTGGTTTTTGTCAAAAGTACTATTCTTTTTTTCATATAAATCTTTTTACTGAGAGAAAATTTACTTGAAACATAAGAGAAACCATTTACCTGAAAGAAACATGCATTGCATTTCTATTCAAAACATAAACCGAAGAGATATACAAAAGATCATATAGGGGTCAAGATGAATTGGTCCTCACGATGAGGTCAAATTGGAAAAAGAAGTGTAGATGTGGCCAGTAATGGCCTTGCACAGAACAACCCCTGGAAGCAACTCAATGGATCAGTGAATGTGCTAATGGGCCTGCAGCTTCTCATCGAGCTGATAGAGCAAGCAGCACAGATTCATTAGAGTCTGGGGACACACTATTAAATGGTTTGCAGCACCGTATGATGACAGTCAAATGAGGCTATTCTTGGCACTGGCTGGGTGAGATGCTTTAAAATCAGACCAATTATGTCCCTTTCCTTGCATCCGATAACTGGTTATTTTCACGTTTGTGCACAACAAATTTATTTCAAATCATTCTGGGCCCTGAACTAGTAATGGGGTTAAATGCGGAATAGACACTCTGAATCTCAGTATGCTTCAGTTTGGCTTACATCAGACCAAACTGCCCATTCTGAGTGCACAAACCTCTGATAGCTGCATCTGATGTCTAGCTTTTATGGTTTTGTTCGATCAAGCGTACCTCTTCATGCTTGTATTACATAATGACTTTCAAGTTAATCTCTTACTACAAAATGTATCATCTTTACCTCTTCAAGTACGCAAACATCACCAGAATAGATCCTATTAAAGTCGTTCCACAGAAAAAATGCTTTCAGAAATGCAACTATCTTACAGCAGCACACAACTAACAATGAGTACGTTTACATGGACAACAGTACTCCGATTTTAATACGATTAAGACAATACTCTGACTAAGAATCTACCATGTAAACAGAGATTTTTGATTACCTTTATCCGGCTAAAGTCATAATCGAAGTAAACAGAAATCGAATTAAGACATGTGGAGTATTCCTATTTTAGTCGCATTACTGAAGTGCAGTATAGACATAAACACCTTAATCACATTATTACCGCCGTGTAGGATTTTTCGCCGCATTTTGCGACAGGATACACACACGGCAGTGCTCAACCGTTTGACGGCAAATAAAAGAGCTTCAACACTGCCATCATCTGTATGCATGTTCAAATGGAATGGGGAAGTCGGGGCCTAATGGTTAGAGAGTCGGACTCGTAACCCAAAGGTTGCAGGTTCGAGTCTCGTACCGGCAGGGATTGTAGGTGGGGGGAGTGAATGTACAGCGCTCTCTCCCACCTTCAATACCACGACTGAGGTGCCCTTGAGCAAGGCACCGAACCCCCAACTGCCCCCCGGGTGCCGCAGAAAAAAAAAAAAGGCTGCCCACTGCTCCAGGTGTGTGTTCACGGTGTGTGTTCACTGCTGTGTGTGTGCACTTTGGATGGGATAAATGCAGAGCACTAATTCCGAGTATGGGTCACCACACTTAAAAAAATAAAATAATTAACTGCACTTGAAGCTTTCATAAAATTAAAAATGAAACACCCAAAACTGTACATGGCATCATCACAAAGACGAACTATATGTTTATATGTGAAATTCCGGAGGGAACGTCGGATGTCGTCACGTGGGGGCATAATGACGTTTGCCATTAATCGAACTATGTACTATAACATGTAAAGGAATATTCTAAAAGCAACTCTATCACCACAATCATAATATTGGCTTATTTAGAATAAGGTAAATAATTAGATTACTGATGTCCATGTAAACGTAGTCAGTGACAAGAAGCAATAAGTTATGGCTCAGATTTCAACTACCCTCGCTGACTCTTAATTAAAATGACTGAGAAAATGTGAAAATAAAAGATTTTTCTTTGAAAGTATTTTCTCCTCAGAACAGGTCTGGATGCAAAGATATATCAGTTACAACTTATAAAAATGTAACAAAATCGTTACACTTTACATCTGTTTTAAAGTTTAAATGTGTTCATTAGTGAATTAACATTTGTTTCTGAAGCTCAACATGTACATGATAGTGCTAACAATGTATATTTCATAGATTCAATCCCACTGCTAAAATGTACAGCATGAATGCACTATAAGTAGCTTTGCATTAAACTGTCTACAAAATTCATGAATGTAAACATTTCCTAATCATAACCACACAATAATCTTTATGTGCACCATTCCCTCTTTCCTTAGTAATTATTTATCCTGGTGTCAAAACTTAGCCTTTTTAACACTGTATATCTTGTATACTGAGATCAAATCTTTATCTATACGTGGGCTGGTTTAGAAGTGAAGGTTGTTTATTCAGATTAAATGAGAGTGGATTTATATCTCCCTTCATCTGTTCATCTCATAAACACTCGCGCTAAGGACAGACAGCAGTCTCTAATGATCTGTGAAACACTCAAAATAGCTTGACAATTGCCTTGAGAGGCTGTGAGAAAAGCAGCATTCGTTCTCGCTTTGTCTCGCAGACACTCATTCCCACCTCAGGCTTGAAAGAAACTCAGTGTTTTATAGATCAAAATCTGTCTGAAGACATCAGCGTAATCAAGGTCTTTTCAAGCCAGTGGGCCGCAGCGAGAGACATTACCAACACTGACTTTCTAAATAACGTAATTTCATCTGTCTTGTCAATGTGGAATTCAGCCTTTAGCTAGATGACATAAGATCTTGTAGATAAATTTAACATTGTTTGTTTAACCGCTAACACTCTTCCTACTAAAAATGCTCACTTAACACTGTTTTTAACACTGAAATGGCTTGAATTGCCAGACCTACATACAATCAGTGCCCATAGAATCTGAACAGCTGTTACTCAAAGTTCTAAACATTTCCTGCCACTTAAATTGGTTATTTATTACATATTTTGGATACCAATATGAGCAGTACACTTAGTTCTGTTTAACCATTTTTTACTACACTTAAATCCATTCCACAGATTTTACCCCAAATCTGTTTAGAAAATGTGGAAAAAGTAATGAACTAATTAGAATGTGATGGAAAATGATTAAATTGCGCAAACTACAGTGTTACATATTACAACTAAATATACAAAAAAAGAGAGAGAGAGAGAGAGAAAATGGTGCATGTAAATGCGGTGTAATAAGTATGCTATAAGTAACTAAACTTTGTCAAAATTTTACAATGGGTGTTTTAAACTATGATCTTTTCTATAGTAGAAAGCTTTGGCTTGACTAAGCTCAGATTCAGAGAAATCAGAGAATATCATGTCCAACTATTTATGAAACTTGTTTCAGGGTTAAAGTCAAAAATGAAAACTGTGTAATCTTTTACTCAGCCTCACATCATTCCAAACCTGCATGACTTTCTCAAAATATCTTCTTCTGTGTTCTACAGAAGAAAAAGCTTTTGGAACAACATGAGAGTGAGTAAATGATGAATGAATTTTCTAAAATTTTCTGGTGAACTATTCCTTTAATGTGTTTTGCCTTTTTAGGGTATACAGTCAATTCTAAAGTGCACTGTAAATTCCTCTCATACATAACGTGGTGTAGTCATGAGGTGCTAGTTCAAATTTAACATTTTTGCTTCTACAAAGTTTCATCTGCAGATATGGTCTTGTTTAGGGATCTGTGCCTTCGTGCATACGGACATCTGACTGCTAAGTAGTGATTGTGTTTCTCAGCAATAGTGTGCACCCTTAATTTACAGAGAAAAGAAGGTCAGGGAAAAATCTGTTGATGGAAAAATCTCCATACAAATTCTTTGTGCATTTTTTTTTTCTACTTGTTACTCTGCACTTTTTTTTAGAAAATGTTTATTTACTATTTATTCAAGTTTTTTAAGGTATCTAATATTTTGATACTTAATTTCCATGATCTAAATATTCTTAAAAATTAAAAGTTTGTTGTCATTTGGAAGTGTGTAGGCCTTCTTGCATTATTATGCTGTTACATTATGATTATATATTCAGTGGCATAAAATGGTCTTTAAAATGACAATAATATCGCTTATCGCAATTATTTCTGGGGCAATATATCGCACAACAAAAAGTTTTTATCGTGACAGGCCTACTTATTATGCTAAAAAAATATAGATATAGTCAACAAAATTTTGCTTTATGTAAGATTGTACAGCAGAACTAAACTATTCCATTATGTAAGATTGAACCGCATAACTAAACTATTGCATTCAGGTTTATACTGTCAGCAAATGTATTATTTAAACAAAAGAACATTTTATAAGCATATAAACTTGTCATGAACAGACATGTGCACAGTACTATTAACGAAAAGACCCTTTCAAACCTATGCATGTACTATCAGCCCCATCTGAAGGATTTCACAAACATTAAAAGCCCCTTCACATCAATATTCATAAAACTGCTTAGAAAAAAAAATCTACATCCACTTCTGTAATTAAAACTATTAATTCATCCCACAGGTGAAGTGATTTTTCTTATCTCTTAAAACAACATTCATTGATCTTAGTGTAACAGCCAATAAAATTCCAGGATAAGAATATATGACCGACAGTGAGGGTGTTTCCATGGCAACAACGGCCTCCTGGAATACATGTCACGCATCTAAATTGCTTGCCAAAAACACCCGCACTCAGGAGAGGGCATAATACTACAACAGAAAGGTGAAGTCACGCTAGTTTAATATTAATATGACTATCCGGGCATCATTTATTCCAATAAACATCTGTTTCAAGAAGGTTCGCTTCTGAAAATATTGGTAAAATAACCATTTAAAAACAACAAATGCATGTTTTTATCTTAGCATAACATGCATATATAGACACACACAGATACACAAACACTAAATAATGCAAAAAAGATGAATAACCAAAGGAGAAAGGTGATATCTTTGCTTGCATAATGCACTAAGGAGAGCTTTTCTCTCCGTATGTGGTTCTCCAGAGGGACAAAGCCAAGGACATCAATTGAAGCGGTCCTTAATAATATTTCTGCCTTATAGTTCACTCTATAAAGGTGAGAGATAATGAAATCAGCACATTTGAGCTGAGGCCTGCCAAGGAGTTGGTTTAAAACAAACTTCAAAGAAAAAGACTTTAAAGAAACTGAAAATCCTTCTTCTTCTTTTTTTTAATCTTACATTTAAGTTAGCTATAATGTACTTAAAGGTGGGATTTAGGCTTTGTTTTGAAGTCTATAATAAGTTCTCCAGGGATGAACCCTGGTCTATTGTGAAATCAACCATTTTACACTTTACACAACGCCTCCCTTGCCTATGCCAAGATGTATAGATAGAATTACAAACCACAGCCTTTATTTGATGTATTTAAAAAGCCATCAGATTCCTGGCAACAGTACAAACAGAAACACTTACACAGAATAAGACTAATGTACTTCTTGAGTAAATCCAATAAAATCTTTACAAATATCACTCTAACCCTCTGAGATTGATTAGACTTTTAGTTACTAAAACATTCAGCATTTAGAACAACAATTAAGTTATAAACATGTAACAGCTTTACTGTTTTATCAAGAGTGTGCGAGGCATGTAGATGGACAACATATCGAACACTAAAGTGTACGAAGCCGTTTATACCAATGTGGGTTTCTTCAATCAGCACAGACCTCGTCTAAAACCCTCATCACAATAGTCTCAGATCAAAGTGGTTTTTACGGTATTAGAAATTGTGAAGCTCTAATGTTACACTATTACTCATGTCTGCCATAACTTTATAAGAGTAAACAGAAAGAGTATGTACAAACCAAATAGAGTTGATGATTAAGGATAGATTTCTTTCACTTTGACCAATACATTTCCAAATCCTTTTCAGTCAATTACCGCATGAGGACTTTTAAAATGTTTCAAAAACAGACTGATTCGCAAATGCATAATTTAAACCAATTTGTGAACCAGGAATAAAATGATTTGAAAAGAACAATTTGGTAAAAATTTAGCAAATCTGCGGTTCTACTCTACCTAAGGGCAATTTCCAGTATATTAAACCTTTAAAATTTCATTCATTACATTAATTCCTATGATTTCTAGGCATGGAAAACCTTGAATTTCTTGATATTTTTCTTATTTCCAGATTTCCTTGATATTTCTATTTTATATTTTGTATGGAATATTGCATGTTAACCAAAGTAAGATATGGAACCTGTACAAATAAACAATATTCAAGTTATACAGCATTCAACTAAGTCAAACGATGTGATCTCTTAACTTAAGAGTACTTGATGCGCTGGCAAAATCTTCTCTCATTTTATAAATAAATAAACCACATTTCCTCAAAAAGCCTCAAGGTGTTGCACCATGGTTCAGTGCTGAATCAACTCTCAGAAAGTGCACAAACAACATTTGGATATCGCCTGTTCAGTGCTTACTCAGTTCTAGGATGAGAATTTACAGACACCTGCCAACATCTCACCTCAAAAAGCAGTATAATCTAAAGCAAATGATGTGTGTACAATACTTCATTGGAATACAAATAGAAAACTGATTGATGGGTCAACATGAGCTTTCAAATAAAGTCATATCGCATTCTTTGAGTCTGGATAGATGAACAGACTATCTGTGACAACTTGGTTAGCAAACAGTTCATTAGTTAGATTATATTTTACAAACATAGAATGAAGCAAGATGAATCATTACGTTTCCAAAGGGTCAGTAAACATGTTATGTTGTTCAATAAGTTATACACAACCATAACATCAAATATTGCGCCTCCAAGTGTTTATTGCTCGGTTTAAGTGATCAAAAAACAGATTTAGTCCTTGAACTATGTAACTTAAGTACTGTCTGAACTCCTCTTCTACTCATAAAAAACCCTTCATGAACTACCGGCTAAATTTGGACATTAATGTTTGTAAAGTTAGTAAGAGAAAACAACAAATGGATTATGAATGATTAAAAATACGTAAGTAACACTCCACACATTTTTCCTCTCAGATGTTTCACGTTAGTTAACCGAGTTATGTACGTTTCGGACCAAAAAGTTGAGCTGTTTATCTTTTACTGACCCACATTACTTAACCAACACCAACCTCCATCCCTCAAGTCTGTAAATACGGCATATTATTCGTGACAACTCGGGGAATTGTAGAAAACTTAGTAGTAACTACACAATCCGGACGTAACATTTCAAACGAGCAGCGACCCGCACGAGAGCCTCAGAGAACACCAGCAGTCTCGCGCGCCCGACTGAGTGTCTGTCTGTCCGCATGCATGGCGGCAGGAAGACATAAAAGTCACGCTCGTCCCTGCAATTACACATCAAAACACATGCACCTCAGCTTATTAAAATAATATAGCCACGAGTGAAAGGGAAGACAGTGCCACCAAGGCCAGGGGGCATGTACACGCACACACACTGTCCTTCGAGAATTGATCCCATCCCCCCTGCGCGCGCGCGCGCGCACACACACACACACACACACACACACACACCCTCTTGCATGTCCTCCATCTTTAATGCAAGCTCGATTTACGCAGTGAGCGCGCGCCCCACGGAAAGATTCAGACTCAATTGTCGCAAAACTCGTACAAACTCACCTCAACCGCTAAAAGGGGTCCTCCGGGACACGCCTCAGTAATAATTGGCGCGATTAATTCACCAAATAGTTTATGTTTTTATATTGTAAATTAGACCTGAAGCAGAACCGCGCCTTTCCTGAGAGAAGAAATCCTAAACTGCCATCTGGCGGCTTTTACCGCAACGAAATGGCGCGATGGGAGACTGATCTGAGGTCGCCTCCTGGTGGACAGAGGATCTTTTTACACAAAGCAAAAATAAAAGCCTTGTTTGGAAGAGATAAAGTTGACCGTGCTGAGGTTGCCTTTTGTATCACTCTTGATCATATGTGTTACTATAGGCATTTTTCCAAGCACATCAACAAAAATATACAGTAGCGTTACGCCCCCCCGTCGTTTTCTAAACGAAAATCCTCTTTGGTCTGTACCCAGACTTTCATTCATTCATAAATTATAGTAAGTTGTATTTTCTCCTTCTCTCTCTATATATTTTTTAGATTATTGATGATTTTTTTTCTTTCATTGCAATGAAATGTATTGCATTGTAACACTTTTAGAAATTCTTTTTAGTATGGGAACATTTCATAGAATGTTTACATGCAAAAAAAATACTAATTATACAAATTATATACAAACAAAAATAATTATTATATACAAAGTATTAAGACAAATTATAATTGTATTAACAGGACATCATTTGTAATTAGCAATATGAGGTATTTTTAAATGTAAACACATTTACATGTGTTATGCACAAAATTATTTTTGCATCAGTGTTTTTCAGCTGATTGGTCATGACCGAAAAATCACAAAATAAAAAAACAAACAAACATGCATTTTGTCTATTGATGTTAAATACTTTGAATAAATTGATTTAAATAAATAACTCCATATTAGCTAAGCATTAAACAACATTTGCCCCTGGCTGCACACACAGGTACTGTATCTGATGGCTTACAGGTCATTATGGTGTCTGTAGAGCCACTAAACCCATGCTAAACATAGATAAGCCTAGAATAGAATATTATGAAATAGCCTATGACATTCTATTGATATATATATCAATAGAATGTCATAGAACATAGAATAGAATATTATGAAATAACCTATGACAGCCTATTCTATGTTCTATGACATTCTATTGATATTTATATATATATATATATATATATATAGTAGGACCAAGTTACACCTGTGTTCAGTCTGTCCGACATTACTGGGATGGTGGATAGGTTGTAAAAACATATGTCATTGCACTACTCTTGCACATTTTAAATTATTGCAATATGCAATAAGAAGGTTTGAGAACAACAGCACATTTATAAGAGAGCAGAAGTCCTTTTTGGCCGTTATCAGTATCCGTAGTCTATCTCAACCAACCAAAAAATCTCTCCGATGAAACGGAAGCACAGAATGTTTTAATACAGCTCAGACCATCCACTCACTCACACAAGTCACACGCTGCTCAGGGAAGATCCTGATTGGGTACATTCCTTATCAACTGTAGTGCTACCAGTGCTGCCATCTTTACAAAAATATGAACATCATTTAATAAATTTAAACACATCTACGTATATTATGCACCAACATAATTTACATCAGTGTAAAAAAGGGTCTGTTGTGATGAGGTCATGGACAAGTAATAAAATAAATAAAAAAGCTTCTGTTTACAAAAAAATGCAATGAACCAGATGAGAACCACTGCTTTACGGCTTTAAATTTAAGCACCTTATGCCATCATGCAATACCATAACTACCAAAAAGCTTTTAACTTTTCAATTTTATCCTCATTTATGGACGCCAGAGCACTCCCAATTCGTTGTCTTATGGCGCCCCCTATCGACAGCCTTCGTTGAACTGCAGCCAAACGCGAGTAGAACATACAGCCGTTGAGTTACTGAAAGGGCCGCAGTGGAGAGTGGGCGGGCTAGTCAATAAAGCGGCTCTGGGCGGGAGTTCGTGGTGCGCTTTTGGCCGAGAGAGTGAAGCTTAACTCCGGACACAAATACACGGGGAGGGAAGAGGCGTGTGGCTCCGTTCCTTATCATATCCCAGTTTAACTAGTACGTACGGTTATAGTTAGTCGCATTTCTCCCACTGAGACTCAAGCCGTTTTAAAGAATAACACGCATTCAATCTCGTGTTGTCACCATCTCGACAACAAACGTTAGCCAGTCACTTAAACATCACCAAACAGACCTTTAAAGTTCACTATCAGGCCTGATACCGAGGAGCTGGTGGTACTTGGAGGCTGTTGACGGTTTTGTGGTGGTTTGAAAGTTTCCTGCAAGGATTTCTGGATTTGTTTTCTAAGTTTTGTTCGTGGAAGTCAGACGTTCGGGCCGCAAACAGTCTCCCGTGCGCGGAGAGCAGAAACAGGTGAGTGGAAACTCAAACGCACGATTATTGCGCTAATCTAATCGCAAATTTCATCCTTGTATAGTTTTAGACAGTAATTTGATCCAGAAATGAATATCTGTAGTGCTTTTTCACCATTTGAATTTAGCAACTTGCGCTAACTGTACAGGCTAACTGTATTGCTTCTCAATATCTGCCAGTCTTTAGCATGTAAGCTAACAGAGACACTCTTATTGTTTTTCTGTTTAAATAAGCTGTTTGATGGATGTTTAACATTCTATGTTTGGTAGTTGAAGATTTGAAGAATTTTAAAGTTTGTTTTTGATGTGTTCGTGTGCAGTTAACTTTATAGAAAAGGATAGTTTGACTGGTTCAGCTAGCAGCCGTCTGTTGTGTTTGTGGGTTTGGCCTGCAGTATTCATGTGCTTTGGCAGATGGGTAGAGTTGATTTGACATCTTCAATACATATGTCATTTTTAATCATCATTTAGTTTGCATATGGTTCTTACATAAACAGCATTTAAATATTGGTTATTTTAAATGGTTATGCATTGCGGTGCAGTCATGTTTACGTACTGTCATAATGTAAACATCCACCATGTGTCATTTGAAAGGACTGTCTTGAGTTAGCATTCGCATTTGACGGATGAAATGTATGTTTTTTTTATGTTAACACGATCAAGCAAATGTTAAATGTTAATATTCTTTTCCCCTATGTGCTTAATTCAATTTTAAATGCATTACATATTTTTGTTTAAGCACATGGTACAGTGGTCTTATTTTGGATGTTTATGCATTATTGATGTTTGTTTACTTAAATGTGACTATATTGTATTTTATAACAGTTGTTTTGATTGCAGTGTAGTTGCTTTTTACTCAGATTCTGTTTAAATAACTATACAAGTATTTTAAGGGGTCATATGATGCGATTTCAAGTTTTCTTTTCTCTTTGGAGTGTTACAAGCTGTTCGTGAATAGATAAGATCCCTAAAGTTGCAAAGACTAAAGTCTCAAACCCAAAGAGATGCTCTTTATAGAAGTTAAGACTGGTCCACGCCCTCCTAAAATGCCGTTTAAACACGCCCTCACATGTCTACGTCACGATGTGGGTGCACACCTCGCTTTTCAGACTGATGAGCTTTGTAAAAAGCGACGCGTTTCAGAAAGGCAGGGCATAGAGGAGAAACAGTAATGTACAGTATGTGGAAAATAATGTTTTTTGAACCTTAAACTGCATAAACACATTTCATTACACAAAATACATAAAATAATGATCTTTTTAGCAACATCATATGACCCCTTTAAAGAATGAGTTTCTCATGAATGCAGTCTTGCTGTCTGTTAAAGACAGTAATCAATTTGAGATATCTGGTATTTCAAACAGTTTTCAGTAGAGCTCCTTTTTCAGCATTTTAAGTGGTTGTAGGTTTTGATGAGGTCAGCTCATTCAGAGATGCTTTCTACAGTAGTTACATTGACCAGTCAGCTCTACTGCACAAAAAAAAAAACCTCAGAAGGTTTAAGAATTTGTATATATTGTCAAAACTATAATTGGAAAACCAAATGGTGGAATGGTTTTATGTTTTTAAATGACATTTTATAATATAAACAATTGTGAATAGGAACCGTAAGATTAAGTGTTTTAAAAATATATTTTATGCTTACCAAGGCTGCATTTATTTGATAAATACAGTAAAAATGGTAATATTGTGAAATATTATTATAATTTAAAATAGCTGTAATTAATATGTCTGTGATAATAAAGCAGAATTTTCAGCAGCCATTACTCCAGTCTTTCTGCAGTGTCACATGATCTTTCAGAAATCATTTTAATATGCTGATTTGGTCCTCAAGAAACATTTCACGTTATTTTCAAAGTTGAAAACAGTTGTGCAGCTTAATGTTTTTGTGGAAATTGTGATTAATTTTTTCATGTTGAATTTTCAAGTTCAAAATAACAGATTTATTTGAAATCTTACTGTCAAATACTGAATAAAAGTATTCATTTTTTTTACAAATTCCCCAAACTTTTGAACAGTTTTGGAAGTGTAAATGTAATTGGTTGGTAATAACAATTTCTACTGTCTTCCTTGGTGTATATGAATGAATAATAATTAATGAATATTGTGCTGTGAATATTGTTGACTCTTATAACATTACTTGTGATGCTCCACATTTATGTTGCCTTGTGAATTGATTTTGAACATTTGTAATTTGTAATTGATTTATCTCCATTGTTTCGTCATCCACAGTTCCCTGGTGGTCTGGAGAGCTCTGCGTTCGGAGCTAGAACCTGGACATCTCATGACTTCAGACCAGGAAGGAAAAACTATCGTGGAGCCACAGGTGCAGCAGTCACAGGAAGCAAAGGAGAAAGAGATAACCCTTTTGGTAAAGTATAACCTACATATTGCCGGTTAGTCTTTAGACATATGTTAAAGGGGTCATATGATGCTATTTTAAAGATCATTATTTTGTGTATTTGGTGTAACAGAATATGTTGACATGCTTTAATGTTCAAAAAACACATTATTTTTCAAATACTGTACATTATTGTAGGTCCTCTATGCCCCGCCTCTCTCAAACGCTTCGTTTTCAACAAAGCCCCTCCTTTGACAAGCGCAGTCTGCTCTGATTAGCCAGCTGATCCAGTGCATTGTGATTGGCCGAACACAACAAGCACGCGTCGGAAATGTAACGCCCCTTACCATAATCACGAGCTTCATCTTTCAAAATAAATCTAAAGACAGAGCCCGAAAGGGGAACAGAGTTGCGTGACAGACACAGTGATGA